AAACCAATAAAAATTGTTGATATAAAAAAAAATACCCAGATGTGAACGAGGCCTTAGTGATGGTGTCAGCAAGCACTGACTGAGAAATTGGTTTTAAAACTGCTAATCTAATTTCTCACAGTCATGACTAGGGTAGTCCAGATACACCTATTGCCTATGCCCATTCTAAACCGCCCCCCATTTCCACCTCCTTGTTTCCTTAAATAAATGACACCAACACCCAAAATGGATTAAATGGCCGAATCGGCCCTTTATTAAACAAAACCATATATAACAAACAAAACAAAGATTCACTGTTAAACAATCCAGCTCCAAGAACAGTTGCAGATCCTTGACAAAGACCTCACACCATTTTGGATTCCGTGGTACCATTAAGTTAGGTTCTATCCCCAGCCGCTAAACACCGCCTCAGGGACTATCCTAACTGACCACAGACCCCTACCAACCTTACCTCCCAGGAAAGTTTAAACTGAACCAGACTATCCGGAGGACTCCATACCCGAGATGGGTCCCACCATTTACCATCATACCACATTTTTGGACCCCTGTCAAGGAACCCAACTGCCACCACGGCAAAAGGGTGACACCTTACACTTGTGCCTGCCGCCAAACCCTAAAGGCTCACTGGATACCATCTTTCAATCCCAAGAACCACATACTGTATCAGTGCCCACAGCGGTAAGATGCACTCCATCCCCTCTAAGGTACAGCTCCGAATCCTTCAACTCCACATGCCGAACCACCACGCCACCATTCCTATTTGCGAATCTGCCCACTTCCTTATTCACCTTTATATGCGCCTTATTCAACAACTCCACAGATCTGGCACCCCGCCATGAAGTATCCGACCACACAATTGACCCCGGAAAGGATGATCTAAGTCGCAGGAAATAAAATTTAACGTCCCTAATAAGCTCTCGCATGGAAAGCCAACCCAAATCATTGCCCCTCGCATGTAAGACCAGAACATCCGGTGGACTATCCAGACGGACAAAGCGATGCACTTCGGGCACCACCCGCTGCCAAAGCAATACCCGGCACCCCAATCCATTGACCCTGCCCTGGTCTACAGGGACACCCAGCTGCCAGCCACTGGGCCTAATGTTCACCCTCCTAGCCCCCCCAAAAACATGCCCCAGAATCCAGATGAGACAGCGGGGCGGACCTGCAAAGAAAAAGGGTACATACGTGCACTAACATGACTGGAGAAACCGACAACCCACTACATAAAGTAAAAACAAAAAACATGCAAACAGAAAGAAACACAACACCCCCCCCAGTTACTGCAAAAGGTGGGGTCTGATGTATAATCTATACCACTTGGACTCCCACCTGCCAATTCTCTTAAACCACTCCCTCTGCCAGACCTCACCTGGACGCCTCAGTGGCTGCCCCTATGCCAAAGGAATGGGAAGAATAATCCCCACTATTTAACTCCACTGCAGACAAACAGCTATGGAAAACAGCCACAAACTGAAACTTGGACAACAAAGACCCATCTGAGTGTAGGAAAAAGCCCCCCCCCCCCCATCCTTGGACGCACCTGCAAGAACTGCCCCACCGCAAGGACAGGACAAAACCCCGAACCATGAAAAATTCAACTTACTGAGCAGAGACTGTAGTTCAAGCAATCTGATCCTCCAACATCCACCTACAAGTCCCACTTCCATCCGAAGAGCCATCACATTATCCATGGGCAATCTGCATTCCATGTTCCTGGAATCAATGGTAATACCTAAAAAAAAAAACAGTTCCGTAGTCGGGCCTTCAGTCTTATCTGAGGCCAAAGGAACGCTGAAACAGGCCACCAGATGCTGCAGCATACCCAGCAGAATCGCACAAGCCCTAGTCCCAGATAAGCCAACACACAAAAAATTATCCAAATAGTGGATAATAGAGTGAAGACTGAAAACATCCCTGACTGCCCATTCAGAAACAAACTAAACTTCACAAATAAGGCACACAAGAAGGAACAGCCCATTGGCAGGCAATGATCAACAAAATAAATGTGGATCATTTCAAAGGGTATGAATACTGTTTCAAGGCACTGTATGTATTTGTTGAGATTCTATGTCAGCATATCTGGACCTAAACAATTTTAGAAATGTGTGATGCATACTTCTTGAAGCCTTTAAAAGCATAGGTTGCATAATTTGGAAGGAGAGGAAAAAAAAAAAAAAAAAGTCAGATTGCACCATGAAATCAAAAAATTTGTGTCTTCTTTCAAATGGGAAGTGTGGACTATTTATCCCAATTTATACTTACCTAGGTCGATGCAGCATTGGTTCGATGCTGTATCTGTCCCCCTCCAGCTCTAAGGGTGAGAACTCAGCAATAACATGACCACTGCACACGGAGTTCTCACAGCCGCTCTCTGCTCTGCCCCCCCCCCCAGTGCTCACTGGTCTCTGGAGGGGGAGGGAGCATCTGGGTCAGCTCTCAGTATCTCACTGAGAGGCTAAACCAGGTGCCACTCCAGACTCGGGTGGATTCTGACTTTGAGGTCAGGATCTTTTCCCAGCCTGGACCAGCTGTCGGCTGAAAACTAGTCACAGGAGGGCAGAACGAACTGTACTCCTGTGATTCACAGAAGTACAGCCAAAAGAGCTTTGCCTGTACTTCTCCTTTAAAGACAAAAGATGATAAAATGTGACAGTTCTGCAGCACAGTTAAGTCTGTATGGGAAGGTTGCACCTTATAAGCTATTGAACAGGCGTTTATTAACCTCCCCAAAAAGTGTCTTTTTTTGGACACTAACCATGCAGATAACATATAGTTTTTCTCCACAGCTTAAAAAGTGTTTTTGAAAAGGCTGGAATTTCTGAGAGATTGAGCAAGCAATTAGAGTCTGTAAAAGTGCTAAGTCTAAGTTTTTTTGGTCACTGACCTGGAAACAACGGAATCAGGAAATAAACATTTAATGTATTTTTTTTTTGCACACTGAGGATGGAAAAAACATACAATGTAGCAACCAACTAACAAACTGGTGTGGACAGTCTGCAATTTTGAATGGATAGAGCAGGCAGACATCTTACATCAGGAAATTGTATATCAGTGGAAACAGCATACATCTGTGCAACACAACTCTGAATCCTTCATTGTTAAAGTGGTTGTAAAACCTTTCATATACTCAGTGAAGTGACTGGCCTCAGGCGATACACAGAGGAGAAACAAATCCTCCTACCTAAGTTGTACATGTTTATTTGCAGCAATTTGTCCTGTACATCTTTGTAAAATTCAGAGATGAAAAGGATTTTTTTTTTACAGACTCTCAAAAGCAGTGGGTGAGGAGCTGCACGTACACACTGTACAAGAACTCTGAGAGCTGACTGAAGGGAAGGGACACACTCCGTTCACACAGCACACAGGAACAGAGTTGAGGCTGTCAATCACAGGCAGTGTGCTAGAGATCCCTTCCCATCACCAATTTAGCTCTTGGTGTCAGAAAAACATGTCAGAAGTGAATCATGTAGCTAACATAGGAACAAGACAGCAGAGAGAAATTACTCTTAGTGCTTTGGAGAGAGGCAGTGGTTCTAAAGCCTAAACATTTTAAGCCTGAATGCATTTCTTGCATTAAGGTAACAAATGTTTATGTGAAAATATTGGCCCCTCACCTTCCTTAATATTTACCTGAGCATGATCTTGATCCAGTGCTGTGCACGAGAGCAGAGGCTCTGCATCTTCTCCCCACTCTCACAGGCTTTGCTGTCAGTCAAATCCTGTGATGAGGGAGTGGGGGGACGAAGCTGAGCCTCACTGTCTGTGCCAATGGACACAGACAGCGCAGCTCATGATCAAGCATGCAGGTGTGCTACCATAGGAAGTGGCTTCCTATAGTGACACAATAAGAAGAGGAGGAGCCAGGGCCTGGCGGGGACCCGGGAAGAGGAAGTTAAGGGCAGCTCTGTGCAATTCACAGCAGGTAATTATAAATATCTTATTTTTTTTTTAAATAACATTTGAAACTTTAAGTCTGCAATTTATGAGGGAGAGACCTACCAGATTGCAAGTAGAGAGCAAGCAGATGTAAAAAAAAAAAAGAAAACAAAAAAAAAAAGGACAATTTGGAGCTATTTTTTCAGTTTGAAAAATGGAACAGTGTTGAAGACACATTTTGAGCCTGTATAGAATAAGGTGCAATTAGCGGAAGGAGAGAGAGAAATTTAGATAAAATGTGAAAAGTGTCAGGAACCATAAAACAAGCAGAGACAGAAAATGCAGTTAAAATTTAATTAAATAGCAAATATAACATAGATAAGGAATGTAGTCAAAACAGAAGCCAGGGTTTGGATGCCAGTGCGGGTAATCAGACTAGCCAGGGTCAGGAAACCAGAAATCAGCATAGTCAGGAGGCAAAAATCAGGAACAGGAACCAAAAGAGAAGTCAGCCAGACTGAGTTGTACACAGGACCACAGGCAGGAGATCATAGACCACACAAGGGCAAGGAGGAAAATGAGCTAAGCTGCAAAAATAGCAAAAAGGGCCGGGTGTAGGTTAGACTAATGAGGCAGGTAACGGTATCCAGGTAAGTCACTGAAGAGAAAACAAGTGGCTGGTAATTAACTGACAGCTACGCAGCTTCTGAGCACTGAAAGAAAAGATCTGCTCATTGAGTAGCAGGAGCCCAGCCTTGACAAAACGTTTTTCAACACATTTATTAGGGCTGCAATTTTTAGAGTAACTGAGTGGGCATGTAGCTTCTGTAAAAAAGAAAAGATTGAGTTTATTTTATGGGGCAGTGATGCTGGAAATAGTGTATGGGTTTAACCACAGCTAAAAAGAATATTAGAACAAGCTGCAATTTCTGGGAGAATGAGCTGGTATTTAGCATCCATAAAAAAATTAAATAAATAATAAAAAGTGTCTTTTTTTGGACACTGACAATCGAAATAGCATACAGGTTTGCACCACAGCTAGAATGCCTTTTTGAACTGGCTGCAATTTCTGAGCAATTAAGCATTTGTATGTGTTTTGATCCTTTTATTTCATGTTTTAGGATCTTTCTTCAGAAAAATGGTTTTTGGGCAACATGTCAAGAAAGGATGCAGAAAAGGCTCTCTGGTCAATAAATCAGGTAACTGTGTTAAATTTTAAAGTATTAGCAATAAAAAAAAAGATTGTTACACAAACTTTTTAACACAGGGATATTGATTTACTAAAGGCAAACAGGCTGTTCACTTTGCTAAGGAATTGTCACTCTGCAAAGGGAATTTTTCCCTTAGCTTAGTAAATGTGATGAAAATTCACTTTGCATAGAATACCCAATCAAAAGTAAGGAAATATAAAAAAAATATATCTGATCACATGATTGGGTGATGGAGATCAGCAGATCTTCACTTCTTTCAATAAGCTAAGGGAAAAATCCCCTTAAAAAGTGAAAAATCTCTAGCAATGTGAACAGTCCATATATCTTTAAAGCTAAATTCCAAGTATAGATATTTTTACAGGTACCGATTTCCTGCTGCCTAATGAACCCAGGGAGTAGAATACAGCACATTTCTTGATTGGACGAGGTGGAGATCATGAACTTACCATCCGTCTCTACACTTTGTCTAGTGAAAGAACATTTTGCATTAATTGAGGAAATGTAAGGCTTTCTCTAAATGGTGCACATGCAAAACGAGCAACACCCTGTGTTTATTATGCAGCAGGACACCGAAGATGGCAAGGATCACTGTGTTGATCCGCTTTCACATGGATCAGGTAGGTATGGAATATGCATACCTTGCATTTGTGATTACTTACATTGATCCAAATGTGACTACACAATTATGTCCATACCTGGAATTCAGCTTTAACATATCAACTCCAATATACAGTTGCAAGAAAAAGTATGTGAACCCCTTGGGATTACGTGGAGTTTTGCATGAATTGGGCATAAAATGTGCTCTGAACGTCATCTAAGTCACAACAATAGAAGAACACAGTCTGCTGAACATAATACTACACAAACATTAGATGTTGCCATGGTTTAATTGCACATAACATGTAAACATTCACAGTGCAGGGAGGAAAAAGTATGTGAACCTTTGGACTTAATAACTGGTTGACCCTCCTTTGGCCGCAATAACCTCAACCAAACGTTTCCTGTAGTTGCAGATCAGACCTGCACAACGGTCTGGAGTAATTTTGGACCACTCCTCTTCACAAAACTGTTTCAGTGTAGCAATATTCTTGGGATGTCTGGTGTGAATCGCTCTCTTAAGGTCATGCCACAGCATTTCAATCGGGTTGAGGTCAGGACTCTGACTGGGCCACTCCAGAAGGCGTATTCTGTGCTGTTGCAGCCATTGTTTTGTTGAATTACTTGTATGCTTTGGGTCATTGTCCTGTTGCATCACCCATCCTCTGCGGAGCTTCAGTTGGCGGACAGATGGTTGTACGTTTTCCTGCAAAATGTCTTGATAAACTCTGTATCTTTCATATAATGTTATTAAAAGGGATATTGTCAAGGTCCTACATTTCCTCAGGGCTTGTGCTGCTCCAGGTGCTGGCATCCATCTTAGGTGTCTGCAAAGCATTGTGGGATCCTTTATGCTGTCAGCCCTCTGTGGCTCCTCCCTCAGGAGGTGGTGGCTTATCACATATAAGTCTGCTGTTTGTAGCTGTCCATTGCATTCGTGTCCTGTCTGTTGCACAGCAGCAAGCTCCTGTTTAGTTTCTCATTGCTCTCCTGGATAACGACTCGGCTTTGGCAAGACTCCTTCCTGGCTTTTGACCCCGGCTCTGGCGATCATCCTTCCTGGCTTCTGACCCCGGCTCTGGCGATCATCCTTCCTGGCTTCTGACCCCGGTTCTGGCAACCATCCTTCCGTGCTACTGTCCTACCAAGTCATCCGCTGTTGCTGTTGGACTTGCATAGACTGTCTTGTTTTTGTATAATAAACTTACCTTTAATTGTACCTCCTTGTGTGTCTGGCTCCTCGCTCCCTGACACTACACGAATGCCATAAATCCTGATGGTGCAGGTACGCCCTCGCTCCCTATGTTGGTTGCCAGACTTGATCAGCAAGATCTCTTGTTGGATCAGTTCGCTCAGGCGTTGCAGACACTGCTTGCACGCACAGCGCACCTTACTCCTGGTGTTATTAGGCCAGTTGTCACTCCTGTGGTCGCTCCCGCTGTTGCTACTGTTGTTGCGCCTACCTCCGCATCTGCTGCTGCACCTGCGGTGCCCAGAGTTATGACTGGTTCAGCCCCCCTTCCACAGCGCTTTGGGGGTGAGCTGAGTCAGTGTTGGGGTTTCCTTAACCAAGTGAGCATATATTTTGAAATCATACCCCACGCTTTTCCTACTGAGAGGTCAAAAGGTGGGCTTCCTAATCTCGCTGCTCTCGGACAAGGCCTTGGCCTGGGCAAATCCCTTATGGGAGAATGATAACCCTGTGATTCACGAGTTTGCCGGTTTTGTTGCCTCCTTCCGTAGGGTATTTGATGTGCCTGCTCGCTCCGCCTCTGCTGCCAAGCTGCTCATGTCCATGCATCAGGGTTCACGAACCGTTGCCGAGTACACCATAGAATTTTGTACCCTGATGGCAGAGGTGGGTTGGAACAACGAGGCTCTGGTGGCTGCTTTCTCTCATGGTCTCTCAGATGCATTAAAGGACGAGATTGCAGCCAAAGAACTGCCTGTGGAGCTCGAAGCACTCATTTCCTTCCTAATCCTGATTGTCACCAGGCTCAGGGAGAGGCCTTCACTTAAGGAGCGTCTGCGGAGGCCTCCTAACCGATTGGCGCCTACATTTTCTGTCCCACCCGTTCCTCCCTCTCCTCCCATGCCTCCTGGGGATGGCTTGTCTGGCGGTGAGCCCATGCAGCTGGGGTTTGCTCGCCTTTCCAAGGGGGAGCGGGCCTCGGCGTCGGGAGGGTCGCTGCCTGTACTGTGGTCTCGGTGGCCATTTTCGGCAGTCCAGTCCTTCCGGGAAAACGCTCGCACCTGAGATCCTGTCGGGGGCAGATCTTGGGTGGAGTTTCCTCATCTCCGGTTTCCCGCAAAGATAAACCGCTAATCACCATTGTCCTCTCTTGGGTGGAAGGCTCGGTGACGGCCCAGGCGTTGGTAGACTCTGGTGCTGGCGGGTTGTTTATGGACAGTTCATTTGCCGCCCAGTACTCCAATCCTCTGCAGGCTCGAGTTACTCCATTGGTCCTCGAGACGATAGATGGCAGGCCCCTGCAACCGCCGCAGGTTACCCACGAGACCCTGCCGGTTGAAGTAGCTATTGGGGCTGTTCACAGGGAGTTGGCCTGCTTCCATGTACTTTCTTCCCTGCACTACTCCGTGGTTTTGGGATATCCCTGGCTTCAGAAGCACAATCCGACCTTTGATTGGCAGTCGGCCGAGATTCTCTCGTGGTCTCCACAGTGTGGGGCCGGTTGCATCCGTGGACCTGTTAAGGTGTTGTGTGCCTCCTCGGACTCTGTGTTGCCCACTGACTATGGGGAGTACCTGGACATGTTCCTCATCGTCCATACGATTGTGCCATAACCTTACAAACCGGTGCCACTCCTCCGCATGGCAGGGTGTATCCTCTTTCGGTTGCGGAGAATCAGGCCATGGAGGAGTACGTTGCGGATACGCTTTCCCGGGGGCACATTCGCAAGTCTACTTCTCCAGCAGGAGCTGGCTTTTTCTTCGTAAAAAAAGAAGGGTGGTGAATTGAGGCCTTGCATTGATTTTAGGGGTCTCAATCGAATCACGATTAAGAATGCTTACCCAATTCCGTTGATTACCGAGTTGTTTGACCGCCTCAAGGGAGCAACGATCTTTACTAAACTCGACCTTAGGGCTGCGTACAACCTCGTACAGATCAAGGAGGGTGACGAGTGGAAGACCGCGTTCAACATCAGAACCGGCCACTATGAATCCCTGGTTATGCCCTTCGGGTTGTGTAACGCACCCGCGGACTTTCAGGAGTTCATTAATGATGTCTTTCGTGACTTGTTGCAGCAGTGCGTGGTGGTTTACTTGGATGACATTCTGGTTTACTCTGCATCTATGGAGTCTTATATCCAGGATGTTAAGCGGATGCTTCAACGGTTATGTGAGAACAAGCTTTTCTGTAAGCTCGACAAGTGTGAATTTCACCGATCCCAGGTTGCCTTTTGGGGGCTACATCATTTCCGCTGTGGGATTTTCCATGGACCCTCAGAAGGTTTCGGCGGTTCTGCAGTGGCCTCGTCCCAGTGGTCTTCGGTCCATTCAGCGCTTTTTGGGATTCGCCAACTATTATCGGAGGTTTATCAGGAACTTCTCCACGTTGGCCAAACCTCTCTCAGATCTGACGAAGAAGGGCAGTAATCCCCACGAGTGGTCATCCAAGGCCATCTTAGCTTTTGAAGCTCTGAAATCCGCCTTCGCTTCGGCTCCGATACTGTCTCAACCCAATCCTGGATTGCCTTTTGTCCTCGAGGTTGATGCATCTGAGACGGGAGTAGGCACTCTCCTGTCTCAACGTCGGTCGCCCGATGGACCCCTACTTCCCTGTGGGTTGTACTCCAGGAAGCTTTCCTCCGCAGAATGCAACTACCAGATTGGAGACAGGGAGTTGTTGGCCATTATTCAGGCTCTCAAGGAATGGAGGCACCTGCTCGAGGGTTCTGCGGTTCCGGTTCTCATTCTCACTGACCACAAGAACCTGACATATCTCTCGGAAGCTAAGAGGTTGACGCCCGGTCAGGCCAGATGGGCTCTGTTCTTGTCGCGCTTTAACTATGTGGTCTCCTATTTGCCTGGCTCCAAGAATGTAAGGGCTGATGCCTTGTCGCGGCAATACTCTGAGCTGTCCAGGGAGGACTCTGAGCCGACCTCGGTCATACCTCCGGATCAGATCCTGGCTGCCATTCGTACCAGCCTGACTTTTCCCTTGGGGAGCAGATTTTGGTGCTCAAACTGATGCTCCCTCTGAGAGACCGGCTGGTAGATGTTTTGTACCTGAGGGATTGTGCACCCGCTTGTTGCATACCTACCATAATTCCAAGACTGCCAGTCATCCAGGGAGGAACCAGTTGTCCTGGGTCGTTTCTCGTTTATTCTGGTGGCCATCTCTCCGTTCCGACATCACCTCATATGTA